CCTATACGCTCTTCCACACATCCCATAGTTTCCAGCTCCGTAAGAACCACCAATAATCACTGTTATTTTAGGTACATTGGCACAAGCTACAGCAGTAACCATCTTGGCACCATCTTTTGCTATCCCTCCAGCTTCATATTCTCTACCAACCATGAAACCTAAAGAATTACAACACGAAGAAAAGGTTGACTAACTTTGTATTGTTATATTGTGCAATATGTAATATTATGTGCTTTATTTATACCACATGAAGAAAAAACTTAAGAATAAATCATAAGACAAGGCCTTCACCAGCTGCCAACAGGCTGATTTCAGAACAGGCTGGAGATGTAGGTACAACAAAGCACACAAGATGCTGTCTAAAAGTCACAGCCTCAACAGTTAATCACAAAGCCTACAACATAGTAAAACTTCAAAATATTGATCTTATTCACCTGTAATATTCTGCAAAAACACAATGGGAATATTTCTCTGGCAACACAACTGGATAAAATGTGTACCCTGTGGAGAAGAAAGAAAAAAAAAAAAAGAGTAAGCCATTAAAAGTTGGATCAGTGAAGCCACCACTACCAGCCCTCTGAAGTCTGTGACAAGTCTCCTTCCACTGAAGTCCATGGGAGTATTTGCATCAGCAAATGCTGTACTTCTGCTTCATCCAAAGTCAACTGCAAAACCTGTATTCACTTGAGCAGAAATAAGAAAATGCCAATAAAATGTATGAGTCCAAGGGTAAAGCAGAAGTAATAGCCTTAAAAAGCATTACTGCTCACACTGAAAAGCTCAACTGTTTTGACTCAGTCAATACGCAGTTAAACCACAGACAGCTTCACAGTATGGCATCTGACGTCGAGTTTTGTAAGACTGTGTCACGGAAATTAAGATAGCCATTCAGAAAAAATAACTCCCCATTTCCTGTACAAAAGAAAATTCTTCTCTGAAATTGGGAAAAGCCCACATACATTATTTGCTCATGGCTCTGCAAATTGCTGCAACACTCCTTCATTCTTCTCAGGGCAGATGCCCTCTCCCCATTTTCTAGGAAAGACCATCTTCCTAGCAAAGACACAAATAGTAGATTCCAAGCTTCTGATTCAACTAGAAATAATCTAAATCAATACAGGTCCTCAGGTTATTTAACACACTGCTGGTAAACACCCGCCCCAACTATGTAGCACAGCAACCGAAAAAAACTCTAACCTCTTCACAATACAAAACCAGCAATATTTACGAAAAGAAAACAAAAAAGAGAGAAAAATCATAAAGCATAACCTTTAGCTAGCTTTTCCAGCGAAGCACTCGAAAAGCATAGTGATGATCATGGGAAAAAGATGTGTCACAATTCGTTACAAAAATGTAAAAGAAAAAAAAGGAATGTTGTTAGATTATGATGTTTACAGAAGTAATATCATGGACAAAGAACTCCCAAGAAGTGGAACAAGTGAAACTTGACCATGTCCTCTTACAGTACTTATATGCCAGCAAAAGTCAGCAGGAGATTCCTTACATTTTTTTCATTGGTACGAAAAAAGTTACAGCACTAAACTATCAGAAAAAAAACGAAAGTATTAGAAATACTGAAAGTGTTATTTTCAACTTGGAAATAACGGTGTTAAAACAAATGCTAGCCAAAACCAATGCCAGTTACTGCAGTGCTACAAGCTGAAAGTATTCCTTCAGTACATGAAACTCAATTTTGTGTATTATTTTATTACAGCAATAAATCAAGTAAAATTACTTCCTTTCTCCTAATCTCTCACCAAGGTTTCCTTTTTCCTACACATTTTCAGTACTGATTTCCTCACCATTAGTTTGAGGAGCTTGCTAGAACAAAACTACTGTATATAATTGCTCTTATAAAAAATTCAACTGACAGTAGTTTCTCGAAAAATTAAAGAACTAAACCAAACAACATAGAAGAAGGTACCACCCACTCTGCCATATGTAGAAACTCATTATCACCACCAATCTCCCAAGCCCAATTTATAAAGCACTGTTAACTGTAATGCAATCACAATATTTCATCAAAGATGCCCTTTAATTCACAAAACAGGTGTTTTAGTCCACAGATGTTACGAGACTGCACGTTTTCATATATTAGTCCGAGCCAGGAGCTGCCACAGCAGCAAACTATGAAAATTAAATCTCTGATAAACCAATGAACTGGAATCCAGGTTTGAATTTTTCCAGTTATTAGAAAACCAATGTGATTTATTGTATTAGTTCACAGTTTAGAGGTTCAGAATTATAACTAATAGGATATTTTACGCTACCAGCATGGACCTTTCATGTAATAGCTGTAAGTTTCAGGATATACCATTTCAACTGTGTGGTAGTCACGCAAATTCAAATGCTGTTTTTCTAACTAGATTTTCCTATTGACCTATCTATTTCATATCAGAAAAATCTGTTTCTAAAACATGGTCAATAATTTTTACATGAAAAAATTTCACGTTTACATGAAAAACATGGAGCCAGTCCACTTTCATTATTTAAAAAAGCTTTTCATTTCAAGAGCAAATTGTCTACCAGAAGTTTTGTCTCTCACGGGCAAAGAAGCTAATAATCTATTTATTTACCTTTTTTGCTGACTCTGAGAAAAGAACTCCATTGTTTCCAATAATTCCTACTGGATAACCAAATATTCTTGCAAATCCTGAAGGAGAAAGATGAATTTGTTAATTTTCACATATATTTATTTTACCATAGCATATAAAGATAACACTTTCTTTTGATAACAGAAACTGCTATTCTTTTGAAGAAAAACATTGTTAAAAATATTGAGCTAAACAAAGTGAATCCAACTATAAAACCAGTGGGAACATATACAGAATAATTATAATATATTTCTAAATACCTGTAATTAAAGTATCCCCATACAAGGCTTTGAATTCATCAAATTTACTTCCATCTACAATTCTAGCAATGACCTTAAGAAAAAATAGAAAAATAAAATGAAATTCCTAATCCTTTGTAATTTTTAATTTGTTTAGAAAGAAAGACCATGCTAACATATAACTTAAAATAAATGCTTTCCGTTTAGAGAACATCAAACAGCCCACCATATAAATAGATGGCAGGCAAAGGCCATTTACTTTTTAAAGTGTGATTTATCTACGTTTATAAAAAACAAAATTTCAAGATTATTCTAACCAAACAGTTTAACTTACACAAAACAAAGTTTTCCTGATTAATTAAATTTCAAAGAAAACCTGCTACCTCTGGTTATATTAAACATTAATCAATAGACTCACATTTATTAAGAGAAAAGCATATATAGCCATGAGTCACTTTCTTAGATGTATGTTTATTTTGAGCTTTGCTTAAGTTGTGACATACAAAAATAAAGATGATGTGTTCCGAGGTTTCTCTGAGATGCAAAGGGCCCATTTTATATAAATATAGACCCATTGCTACCAAGATGTTCACCAGAAGGTATTGGTTTCAACTTTAAAAGAACATAGATCCAAGCTATTACAACTTTCAAGAGTGTAGTGTGACATTCAATAAAAGTGTTGATTTTTTATTCCCTTAATGCAAAGCAAATCCTAGTAATTTCTGACAAAGTATTTTAAGAAAGGTACGTACTAAGACTCCTCCTAAAATAAATGCTTGGTTGGTAGTGAAAAAGGCTCTAAAAATGTGATCTATGTAAAATACGAAAAAGGATGTGGTCTTGGATGAAGGTACTGAGGCAAATAATTACACTAGACCTGCAGCAGAGTACAATAGCCTCCCTATGTGGCTGGGAGAGCACTGAATTGTTGGGGGTGCTTATACTCCATAAATATTTAAATATTTGATCAAGATTAAGAGAAAAAGAAAGCTATCATATCACTTGGCAAATCTATGCTTTGCCAACATTATAGTTTCCTATTTCCTGGCAGCTTTTTCAGAATGTTATCAATCTCTCACCCTTGCTCATCCTTCTTAAAAGTATAACCAAAAAGCATTATGTCATTGCCATTGCAACATGGACAAAAAATATAAAAAATACATTAAAAGATTTTATGAAATTTAAATATTCACTATATACCCAAATCAGATTTCTGGAGGCAACCTGTGATGATATAAAGGAAGATTTCCTGCACACAAACTGAGTGCATATATAGGCATGGGAATTGTGCATTTATATTCATACCTCTTTGACATCAAAGTTTCTTTTCAGCTGGTCGCCTACTATTCCATATTAGGAAATAAAGGCTCTTCTGATGGTTCTATAGTCACCTGTGGCAATTCACCAATTTACACAACAAAGTAATTATTAATCCACATTATGATTTAAAAACCCCAAACATTTACCAACTGCTTTGAGCACAGTCTTCTCTTCACCAACCACATCAAAATGCCTGTTCTGTCTCATCCTCATTTTGCATAAAGATCATATTTCTTGAACTGAAGGCTGATAAGACTTTCTCACTTACTGTTACCTTTATTTCTATTCTTGTGCATACCTCCACATGTGCTCCACTTCTTCCATGTTATCAAAAATTAAGCCTATCCTCCCATTGGCTTACTTTCCCCCTGTGTCCTATTAGGCAGGTAGTATTCTGAAAAACTGATGAAGATTTTTGCCACACAACTGAATACAAAATTTTGCCTTCCTTCAGCTGCTGAGCTTTAATTTCAGTTCACCCTCTCAGATCTCCTGCCAAATTAAGTTAAGGCAATTCCTCCCCCATATGCTATCCATCCTGTTTTCTACAGCAAATTTTTAAATCAACACAATACAATAACATCATTTAGATTTATCCCCTCAGCTTTATACCTTTAATTAATATTCACAGAAAACGTGTATTCAAAAAGATGCTTTAGCAGGTATCTAATTTAAGTCCACAGGAATGATCATGTGGGCTTAAAATTAAATTAAGCACCTTGCACGACTGGGTTAAAGCACAATTCTGTCATTCTGAAGCACTGTTCTGGTTGCTTCACTCTTGCATGTAATCCCAGTGATTTTATTTGGAATAATGCAGCAGGATTGTAACTGCAGAACTGAAACATTAGAGAAATCTTTAAGGACAAGTTCAGTAACTTCCATTTTCAAAGTGTCTAAAGTCAGAGACAAAAAATAAGTTCTATAAATCAGGTGAAGAAAAGCATTCCTAATTTAAATAATGCAGTGTTTTCATATTCTTACATACACTTACATCTACTTTCTTTTGGAGATTTAAACTTCTTACAGCTTTCCTTGCCAGATGAAGTGCATGATTGTCATCCAAAGCATAATGATCTGTTACACCAGATTTTCTGTATATAAATAACAATAACAATAGCAATATTGACTTAAAAAAATCTGACAATGAAAATTTGAGGTTTTAAAATTTTTTAAGACTTCAAAACTTTTATATTTATTTTTAAAATATAGATGCTACAATACAGCTCTCCATGTTTTGTTACAAAATTACTTTCAAAATAAAACCCATGCCTGAACTTTTCTTTGAAACAGTACATTCAAGTTATCAGTCATGACATAAAATAGCAACTCTAGGAAGTAAAAAATCTAAATAACAATATAAAAGATGACAAACATTGTTCAAATGGAAATGAAAATCCTTTTGAAATTATAAAGAAAACATATATTTACAGAGCTGTTACGAACTGTCCTTAAAAATAATTTTTATTCACTTCAATGAAGTAAAAATGAAGCATTTATTGTGCAGTAATACCTAGCTTTACTATTCTTTTCATTTTAGAACCAGAAAGTGCATAGAATTCTTTGTTTTGATAACAAGCATTCTCTTACAAAAATCACACGCTATACAGATCTCGTTTGTAGTAAGTTCTAACTGACAGTAAGAAAGATAAAATCTGCAAAATATATTATCATTCTCAGTGTGTATTATGCTGTTAACAGTCAGTATTAAACAGTAAAGTCCTCCATATTATGCGTAATGCTGGAGTACATTAGACACGCAAGTATTTTAAAGCAGTAAAAACCATAAAGCATTAAAAACCATAAGGTAACTATGCTACTATAATAAAATGATTCATCAGCACCAGATAAGGACAAAGAAAATCTTAATTTTTAAAATCTAAATATAGTAAAAAAAAATCTAAATATAAATTAACAAACTAAAGTAAAACAAAATAAAAATAAAATAAACCAAAATAAAAATAAAATAAGCTAATAAAAAATCAAATATAAA